GAAACTTTGACAAAAATTACCCAGATATTTAAATGACAACTTTTCATGCAATGTTACTTGGGGTGACGTTTCTTTTGCGGTTCAGTATATATGTGTCGGGATCTGGCGTTAAAGTCAACGAATATAATGTCGCTAATCCGTTAATATTAGGCAATGTAGGTTGCAGAATACGACGAATGGACCCGAGTGAAATGATGTTTAAATACCAAAGATTAGGTTGAACTAATTTATTCATTATCTTTTTTCCTTCATGGACCGTTTAAGGCTTAATTTAGTGAATATGATAAACCGCGATTGATCAGAAGTTCCCCACAAAAAGTATAACTTCTCAATTTCGTAAAACAGAGATGAGAATATTTCGTAGATCGAAAGATCAAATTGACCTTGCTTACTAAGCAACTAATATTTTAGCACTAAATATTGAACCTCATACATTGTTAATGAAGAAGGCTTTGACAAGGCCAAAACAAAAGTATCGAGTTATTCAGTTGTTTTGCTGACCTGCAGAGAAACGTTCCTCGTGGGTGTCGTGATCCAATGACCACACCATTACTTTACTTACATGCATACACAATAAAACCACCCACCAGTACGTGAGTTAATGCTATAGGCTATTTGCCTTTATTCACACGGCTACTTTACCAGAACGCGGTGGATAAAGTTGGATGTTAGCATACGTGAAGCCTTCCTTAAGGTGTAAGTGTATAAAATTGACTATAACTGGACAATCCTATTTTGGTGATACATCCCGCACCATCAACACAAGAATCAAACAGCAACGATTTAACAGAGTTCAAGGCTATTTCATCCCATTGGCCTGCTATGAACTCATTATGCATTAATTACCCAATATGTGTACTGAATCCCGTTTAACTGGCTTCCTGTTGATTAGGCTTTCTCATCACGTCTTCTCTATCCATCATGTTGTTACAGTATTATCCTTCTGTTGTTATTATTTAGCTTACTCACGTTAATCTCTTTCATGTATGAAATTGTTGTTACTGTTACCACCTAACATATAGATTCTGTATCGTGATTATTATTCAGCTTTGTTTGACAACGGTATAAGGATCGATAGCGAAACGTCGCCATAACAGTAAAATAAAGAAGTTGTTATCCATAGATTTAGCCTACCTTGTCATTCGACGACTTCTAAGAATTGCCTATCAAACAATGTATCCGTGAATGATTTGTGAAACAACAGTATTGTCTTCGACAATGTCCCAGTAAACAGACATGGGTGCATATATAGATCTTTCAAATGAGAGAAGGCTAAATGCAGCTAAATTATCTCTCAAAATACCAGAAATAAGCCTAAACCTACCCATCTCAAAATCAGAAATTAAAACTGTAAACAAACAAAAAATAACCCAAAAATGGCATAATCAATATCAAAACTCAAATAGCCAAATCATAAAAGTGCTCAGAAAACCACTAGCCAAACCTAAAATCCTACACCCCTCAAAACAAATTGACAGATTAATTACAAAACTCCAAACAGGACACACTAACCTAAATAACCACCTAAAAAATCTTAAAAGGCACACCACAGGCAACTGCCCCCACTGCAAACAACCCGAAACCACAGAACACGCACTCATCCACTGCACCCACTACCAAACACACAGAACCACACTACAAACCACCCTCAATCTAAATAAGGTTCCTACTCTAGATAAATTACTAAACCCTCAAAATAAACTAGAAAACTTCAAGGCCCTTGTCGTATTCCTAATCAAAACAGACCTATTTAAGGGCATCTAAAACCTAATTAATCTACCAATCCAAAATCTAATAAACATACAAACACCCACCTCACCCGGCTCCCTTAGTTCCCTCCTCCTCCCACCTCGGCATTTATTCCAAATTTAAAAATTCCAAAAATTCAATATAATTAAGCAACCCCTAAAAGCCCCCTCTTGGGTTGCACACACCACTTTCACCCTTTTCGGAATACACTAAATGGTCTGGCCAGGCCCGTGTGCGAAATACGCTACAGTCGGAAAGCGCACGTTAAAGGGGCACTGATCTAACGCATTTCCCCGGACTGGTTTTGTTATTGTTTTTCCCCCGTGAGTACCCGGATGATACGCAACGCAACTGAGCGTGACCAAAGACTTGGCTACCGTCTGCAAGGACAGCTAAATAAACTTGGAGGCTGGAGGCAATTTTTGTTTTACGCATTTTTGCATAAACACTGATTGGTTAACTGTGATCTATAAAAATTTCGACAAAGGGCGCATGTTAATTAATTTCTCCAGCCTAAACAAACAGACAAAAAGAACGACGGAGCTCATCGGATGTCGTCATTTGGAAATACCCGAGATGGTTATAGTTTAATACTAAAAAAAGTATCCTTGCAGTGAAAGCATTTTCGGATTTCCGATTGCGTCGATAATACGATTACTACCTCTTGTTGTCATCCACGTTTTCTCGTATAACCCTGCACTTGTGTATTTGTCGTCATTCACTTGATGCTCAGTTAATGAATTTATTACAGGTACAATTAGTGGTAGCACCACTTAGATTACCTGACAAAGGTTCCCATTTGGCATTTATTGTGTCTGGGGTAATTATTCAATCTAAATCCAGGTTTGAAGTGAGATGAAATGTGTGTTATGTAATATGCACGTGGCATCCCAGCAAGAGATGAATGATCAGTTGATTTACTTTTTTTGTTGTAAATCAACGGATCGTTCCTAGCCATCAAAGGATTAACAGAAAATACGTTGATTGATTAATCACTGTTATCTTTCACAGTGGATATGTCAAGAGTGAGTGTTTACATGTCTAGGTTTACTAAAACCAAAGGGAATACACTCACATCATGGCGTGAAGTGCCGATGTAAAAACAACATACTTTGTTCAAAGGGTTAACTGATAATACGTTGATTGATTGCTCATTGTTGATTGATTGCTCATCTATCACTCGATGGATGTTTTAGGAACCGTGGACGTTATGAAAATAGTTGTCACGTGGGCTTTCTCAGTCGACCCTTGAGACTTGACACCTATGTGAAACACCTGAAACAATCTAAGTGATTAGTTGAGAAACGAACACGAAACGATATATATCTTTTAAAATATTTGATTGTTACAGAGACACGTGACATCGAATAAGTTTCTTTGTACAGCTGCAGACGAGTAGGATATTGTTCCTTTGTGTGCATGGATATTCACGGATACATTCCTCGAACAAGGAAGCTGCCTAAAATATATACACATAAATTTGGTAGGTTGTAATTATGGTATTTGCATTTTGTTTTCCTTCATTTGAACCGATTCGTTCTTGTTCCTCTACATCTTGGTTGGGAAATTCTTCAATGCGCGATAGACGTTGTTTTCACAAGTATCCTTTGTAAGCGTGTATGTATTACCGTCAATTTGTAAAATCTGATTCTCTCAGGCAATTTATAAAATGTGTAAATATTTCAGGCATTTTGACTGAAAAATCCGTCCAGATTGACTAAAATTGATAAAGACGATCCAACGGGCCTAAAACCACCACAACAGATTATTATGTAGGATGAGAAGCCAAACAACATAGAAATGTACTTTTCAACGTAACATTTTCAGTCTCTTGGTGATGACATTAAACATCAAAATGTTTGGAATTCGTTATCATAATAATACAGATGGAAATGTTTTTCAGTCACTTTGTAAAATAACTGAATATTTAGACGTTTAATAAATTTGTTACACATTTTGACAGTTAAAAAATATACACACTATAAAAAAAGCAATGCTCAGGTGAAATATTTACTTTGTGTTGCAAGTCAAAATAGTGTAAAAAAAATTCGCAAAATTACCAAGCAAGTGACTTATCAAAACTTCGTCACCATTACCGAGGCTACCCACAAAGATACCTACATTTCCTTATTATCTCGAAAACCGTATTTAATTTTGTTGATCAATGTGACCATACGCCCTTATTACTACCCATTGACTAATGCGCTTACGAATAGCGCAGCAGAGGTCGCGAACTAGTCTAGATTTCTGCTATACATCCGGGTACTCACTGGGAAAAAACAATAACAAAGGCAACAACCAGTCCCGGGGAATTGCGTTAGATCAGTGCCCCATTAAATCTTCTAGCCAGTCAGTCAGTCAGAGAAGGCTAGTTTACATTGTAACTCTTGTATATCGCTGGAAGCTTAACTTAATAATCAAGGATTTTCTTCAGGCTGTCACACCTTTTGTTTTTTGTAACATCTATTTCCTTTTTGTTTCTGTGATATGCCATAATGAGTGAATGAGTAAATATTGTTTTAAGCCTATTTGTGGCTAAAAAGATCACTTTATGAAAAGAACATTGAATAAATGTGATGACAAAGATCACTAAAAAAACACAGAAAACACTAAAACTGACATTCAAAACTTTAAATCAACATCATAAAGTTTAATTTCCTTCAAAAATGCTAAAATTAAGTGCTAAGAACCAGTATTGGAAAGTTCAGAAATAGTTTGAACGGTATAAAAAACGATGACGAATGAGTGCAAAATCCACACATTCCAATGACGCTCAGAATATGAGAAGGAATACATTGAGAGGGATCCTCTCCCTTCAATAAAAAAAAAAAATGAGTATAATGACCGTGTCCAATGCGACTCCTTCGGATTACAACTTCACCTTCGCACCTCAAATCAGTAACGCCATGAAATCCAAACTAGGGTTATATTGCATGATATTTATTGCAGACTTGATTATTCCAGCTTTGCTGTCAAATATGTCTCACAAATAGCAGGTCTTAGGTATATGGAAATGCACTGCTCGATACTGACTCCTGAACAGCAGCTTTAGCTGCAGAATCTGCTTTAGAATTTCCTCTTATGCCAACATGACTAGGAAGCGAACAACATATGGCTTTATTGTTTGACACAGACAAATTCAAATGGCATTGAAGAATTTCAACTGAAAAGGGATGGTCAAATTTATGGTTGTTGATTGCCTGTAAGAAGGACTATCAGACAAGAATATGAAACTGCTCTCCTTAGAACGGTCAATATGTTGCAAGGCTAATAGTATAGCCTAGCCTCTGTCGTAAAAATGGAACTACCATCAGTTAGTCGTAATGATAAAGTACCATCATGTGTGAAAGGTGCAGCTGACACCTGGTCACCATTTTTTTATCCATCAGTGTACAACTGGGATATTGATTTCCATGAAGGCTTGTTGATGTGAGTTAGTATCAGACCCGTGAAGATACGTGGAAGAATAGATCTTCAGCAACCCATGCTTGCCGTAAAAAGCGACTGTGCTTGTCGTAAAAGGCGGCTAACGGGATCGGGTGGTCAGACTCGCTGACTTGGTTGATGCATGTCATCGATCCCAATTGCGTGGATCGATGCTCATGATATTAATCACTGGATTGTCTGGGTCAAGACTCGTTTATTTACAGACCGCCGTCATATAGCTGGAATATTGCTGAGTGCGGCGTTAAACAACAAACCAAACCAAAGAACGTTATGCATGTGAAGAATTTCACGGTTTTGAAATTCCACACGTTTAAAATAATCTTCAACTGTATCAAGAATTTATGCTTAAACAACATGTTATTGTCATACCAAACTCAGGCCATTGTCATCTGCGGACAAAGTCATAATAATTGTTGGAGGGACATAACTAATAAATCAACAAAACATTTTTGAAGTATGCGACAGTTCCTTTTGTCTTTTTCCTGAACATATATAGGAATGTTCCAAAATATGAGGATTTTGTGATACGGTGCGAACATCACCAACTGTAAATATCGGTGAGGTGTATGTAGGATGAAGACCATGTTGATGTTTCATTTTTAGATGAATGTTTATTTGCTTACCAAGCATCATTTTATCACATGAAACGGCTGTATGTAGCAATTGTGTCAAATCTTTACGAAACTTTGAGTTTTTGTTATATTGTTTGAAATCATTGGTCCCACTTGGGAATAGCCAAGGAAATGCCATATCTGTGCCATAATGAACTACATAGATATCAACAGGTGATGGCAGATGAAGAACTGATCTCTTTTCAACATTTTGACCGGCTGGGAGAATTGTTATACTGATAAACACTGATATAATACAAATTAATTTCTTTTCAATTTGTGTTAATTTTAATGTGGGAGGTGTTTCTGGAACTGCTAGGTTATTGGCTTCATGTGCAATAGTTGGGATTACATTTTTGGCAAGAAACTGTTGACAATACGACACAAGATAGCTCATGTGGTCAATTCTGGGTTCTGAAATAGTGTATTTTATGTATGGTTAAATGTGTTGTCTGATCATAATGCAAGAATGAGCGAGTAAGTGATTTGGATTTAACGCTTCTTTTAACAGAAGTATAGTTACATAACGGCGTGTCAGCTTAATGTGGGAGGAAAGCCTGAAGTGATGCAGGCCTCAGACGTTTACCACTTCGGCGAAACCCACGAGGACGGGTATGGTGCTGACAAACCTAGAAACATAATCGGGGCGAACCGGGATAGGAACCCACAATCATAGGTTTCTGGCAACTCTGCACAGCGAATCGCGACGCCTTAGACGACTGGGCCACCCGTGCCCCCCCCCTAATGCAAGAAATGCTCATAACATTCACATGATTATAAAGATAAAAAGGTTTTTGTCGAACAGACCTTCAATTATCTGCACAATGCGAAGATATATACAAAACAGGTTTATGACAGGTTTCTTCAGTATTCATCTCAAAAACTCGCTACGGGAATATCAACCAGAACCAATATATTTTCTGACAAACTTTTGTCATAAATTATTTATTGTGAATGTATGTTATTTGAAGTGGAGAACATTCAAAACCAGAACTAATCAATAACGGAATAACGTCTCTTCTTTTACGTTCTTTGGTATGTTTCTTTATTGCATTTCTTCCCTTCTTCAAAGAAAAGTAATTATGATCCTGATGAGGTGAGTTTCCTGTTTACTGATGATTTTTGACCAGTTTCTTTGTGAAATATTAACCAATGAGAATACGATATTGTGCCTCTGTCTGTGTCGGTAACTGTTGTGGAATGCGGTTTACTTGTCACAATGTCAAGTTTGTGTATACGATGATGATTGATTGAGGGAGTCGCATCGGCATTATTCCAGCCATATAGCGACGGGACCAAGTTTAATAGCTTACAATTGAGTCATCTATGCAAAGTATTTTTATTAAACACAATTTATGAAACATATTTGAGCATCACAATATTATATATAGTTTTGAAACACGGGCTATAGGCCACCAGTTACCAAAGCTTGGCCACCTCGCTGGGGATCATGGGGACTTACAGTACCTCGGTACCCTGCATGACAACGGTGATGACTGATATACTGTTATACAATTAATCCACTTCTATAGAAGTAACACTGCTTGTCCATTCGGATCAATTCTTCTCAAACCATTCCGCTGATCATGATGAGAGTCAAATAATGCATAAGAATCAATTGAAATTGAGATGTCATTAAAATTAAACAAAAGTGACGGGGATATCAATATTGCTTGTTAAAAATGATTCTATGAAATTTGTTTCCCCTGATTGAATAATTGGAGCACCTGTGACGGGGCTATAAAACTTACATGTTTTAACCATATCGCTTGAGACTGTGTCTGCCGGAAGCTGATTATGACCAAAATACGCCTCAGCCTTCTGTGTTAACTATATGACCGTGCCTTCATACAACAGATTATATCGGTCAGAGAACATGGCACAAATAGGTGTGAGCCCTTGAACATAAAATGTATGATAGCGACCAGAGCTGTGGCTGTGCATTGAATGCCATTAAACGGTTGAAAAATAATACAACCTTAAATCAAATTTGCTACCAAGATGTACGTTTCACATGTGGCGAGGTGCTGTGCACTGATTAAAGACAAACGGGGGACTGGGTTATTTAATTATCTGGAATAAAACAATTCCAAATATTTTCAGTGAACATGAGGATCCAAACAACAATCCGTGAAGATACGCGGAAGAATAGGTCTTCAGCAACCCATGCTTGCCGTAAAAGGCGACAATGCTTCTCGTAAAAGGCGACCAACGGGATCGGGTGGTCAGGCTCGCTGACGTGGTTGATGCATGTCATCGATCCCAATTGCGTGGGTCGTTGCTCATGATATTAATCACTGGATTGTCTGGTCCAGACTCGATTATTTACAGACCGCCGTCATATAGCTGGAATTTTGCTGAGTGCGGCATTAAACAGCAATCCAACCAACCAACTATGTTCAGTTAATTCATAACTGAATCAGGGTGAATACAAACTATCCGGTCTTGGTCATTAAATGGTAATGCAGCGTATAAATTAACATTGGCAAAACGATTATTGACAAGGCTTTATGACAAGAGGAATGATTTAAACTTTCCAACAATCACCTTCTCCAATATGTCGAGCACTATTCCAGCCGATTCAGCCTTTCGTTTAAAATAAGAAATATGTTTAGAATATAACAATTGCCAAAATAGATAGGTCGAAAAAATGCAGTATCACAAATAGTGCAACAAAATAAAAAATAATAAACTATTATCACACGATTAAATGCCTTGTTGCTTTCGTCCTGATGAGACGATGGGGCCTGGTATTTTCAAAACAGAAAATAATACACAAGCTTGGCAGAAGTATGGCATCATTGTTACATGTAAATACGATGAGGCACTTCACATTACAAACGTTACTGTGCATTTTCTAAACACAGTGTTTCTCGTATTTAGTATCATTCCAGTCCTTTTCTCACAGACATGGGCGATTGAAAAAGTAGAACCATCCAATAGCGCTTGATGCTTCGGCGGACCCAACTCTCAACTCACAGCCATGGGTGTTGTAGTTGTAGTTGAAGCCGATGCAGGTTCTGTTGTAGATGCAGTGTGTGCTGCATTCAGCTGCAGATGCGACATCAACTGGGATTACGTCCCCGACATACCTGGTTCCCACCAAGCGATGAAGGTCGGTGCTGAAACCTATGAAGACAGTTTTAGGAAGGGATTATGAATCAAGAGTGACATATACAACAACAATGGTCTATTTTTGCAAGTATCCGTTTGTACACGGTGCACACATTGGCTAATGATTGGTGGGTTTGTTGTTCAACGCCGCACTCAGCAATATTCAAGCTGTAGGACGGCGGTCTGTAAATAATCGAGTCTGGACCAGACAATCCAGTGATTAATATCATGATCATACCCGATCCTGTTAGTCGCCTTTTACAACAAGCATAGTCGCCTTTTACGGCAAACATAGGTTGTTGAAGACCTGTTCTACCCCGGATTTTCACGCCGGATTTTCACGGCGCAGTGGCTAATGATATATGATTGAGTGCTCGGTTCCTTTTGACATCATGAGCATCGATCCACGCAATTGGGATCGATGACATGCATCGACCAGGCTCGCTGACTTGGTCGATGCATGTCATCGATCCCAATTGCGTTGATCGATGCTCATGTTGTCAATCACTGGATTGTCTGATGCAGACTTGATTATTTACCACCGTCATATAGCTGGAATATTGCTGAGTGCGGCGTTAAACAACAAACCAAACCAACCAACCTTTTGACACTGATGTGATTATAAGATTCAGGAAGAACATGGCAAATATGCGTTTACGAAATGTAAAACCCTCTTTGCCGCATTTATTTATTTCAATCTGCATATGATCCATAGTAGCCACGATCGACCATAATCAATATCTTAAAGTCTTAGCGATGAGCCTCAGCTAGGAGTCAGTACAAGGACTTAAGAACATAAGTAATATAAGATGTGTCCTTACACCCGTGACTTTAATTTCATCAGATGCATCGCTAGCTTTTAAGAAGCTTTTGAGCAACTGTGTATCATTTTGTAATGTGAAGTTTACACAATATACAGCTTTTAAATTCGACGAAAGGTCGGTCACATGACCGCGAAACTCATTTTGACGTTTGTACATGTTTCACGACACTATTCTTGAAATGACCGTAAACACTAGCGGCATACTTCCATATTCTTGGGGAAAACCCTGGGAATTCCCAAGCACAAATAAATGCAGAAACGTTGTTTCTGATCATTTAGACCCATTTATCTTAAACTTAGTGTTTAAGCATACATTAGGATAAATCAAGAGTTTGATTTTATGCCTGTTCAAGGATATCCCCGCTACGACCCATCATAGTGAACAAAACGAAGAAAATGCACATCCAAACTATCATAGAATTGACTCGATCCGTATCAAGACTGAGAGTGACAGTCTAAGGCTATCACGGATTTACCTTAGCATTTATCTGACAAATCTTCACAATCACCTTTCAATCATGGGCCAAATGAACAATGATGACTAACACTTGTAGTTTATATAGGTTCAAGAAGAACTTCGGAAATACCTCCCGTCACGTTAATCGTGACGTGACTTCGACCTTCGGACAGTGTGGCCCTCTCTCTATGAGAGTTTATACTCCATTCAAGTGAAAGTGAGTCCTCAAATCATCAGCAAGAGAGTAGCGACCAATGCTGTATTTGTCTCTATCGTCACCTTAAACATCTCCACAAGGAGTATGTTGTTCAGCTTCAGCCAAACTATACACCAATACACTTCGCATTTTCAGTGAAAAAGACAGCGGTTTAGGTGATCGGAGTTTAAATGAAACTAAACCCTTTCCGTAATGATAAGAAAAATATGCTTAAAGCAGAATCCCTTGTACGACACCAACTCTATGATAAGCAAAAGTTAATTAATTATTAATGTCATATGGTATTCTCGAAAACAAAATCTCATTATTATGAAAGCATCATCTCGTCCGTTTTGTGTAACGTTCACGCATTCTATTGATACACCCGACCAAATAATTCACGTCCAGTTCCAGAAAGTCAACTGCCCCTTCATGTTGAGCAATGTTTGAGCAGTTTCAGACGTTGATTCATAAACACATACTTACGGTACAGTCAGAATAAGACAATGGATTCTGCTTTTCCTGAACATTTCTTATCATTACTGAAATAGTTTCCTGGTTTTTTTATTATAAGATTAGAATAAAATACTTACACCCTGTAGGTGTTCTCTCATACACTTCAACTTCACACAGTGTTAGTAGATCCGTTGCGTATCGTCTGTACAGACCCCGGATTCTGATATAACGCCCTTGGGCAGCACAAGAACATGAAATATTTTCTGTTGCACCATCAGGCATTGGCCCATCATACATCGCACAAAGCTGTGAGGGAATCAATGGGTTCAGCACGGGATCATCCGCGAAGACCTCAATCTTTAGGTCATGCATTCGGTCACCTGAAGCGGATAAAAGCCAAACATGTTAAAGGGGCACTGATCTAACGCAATTCCCCGAACTGGTTGTTGCCTTTGTTATTGTTTTTTTCCCCCGTGAGTACCCGGATGATACGCAACGCAACTGAGCGTGACCAGAGACTGGGCTACCGTCTGCAAGGACAGTTAAATAAACTTGGAGGCTGGAGGAAATATTTGTTTTACGCATTTTTGCATAAACACTGATTGGTTAACTGTGATCTATAAAGATTTCGACAAAGGGCGCATGTTAATTAATTTCTTCAGCCTAAACAAACAGATAAAAAGAACGGCGGAGCTCACTGGATGTCGTCATTTGGAAATACCCCAGATGGTGATAGTTTAATACTAAAAAAAGTATCCATAAAGTGAAAGCATTTTCGGATTTCGGATTGCGTCGATAATACGATTACTACTCCCTTGTTGTCATCCACGTTTTCTCGTATAACCCTACACTTGTGTATTTGTCGTCATTCACTTGATGCTCAGTTAATGAATTTATTACAGGTACAACTAGTACTAGTGGTAGCACCACTTAGATTACCTGACAAAGGTTGCCATTTGGCATTTATTGTGTCTGGGGTAATTATTCAATCTAAATCCAGGTTTGAAGTGAGGTGAAATGTGTGTTATGTAATATGCACGTGGCAGCCCAGCAAGAGATGAATGATCAGTTGATTTACTTTTTTTTGTAAATCAACGGATCGTTCCTAGTCATCAAAGGATTAACAGAAAATACGTTGATTGATTAATCACTGTTATCTTGCACAGTGGATATGTCAAAAGTGAGTGTTTACATGTCTAGGTTTACTAAAACAAAGGGAATACACTCATATCATGGCGTGAAGTGCCGATGTAAAAACAACATACTTTGTTCAAAGGGTTTACTGATAATACGTTGATTGATTGATCATTGTTATCTATCACTCAATAGATTTTTTAGGAACCGTGGACGTTTTGAAAATAGTTGTCACGTGGGCTTTCTCAGCCGACCCTTGAGACTTGACACCTATGTGAAACACCTGAAACAATCCAAGTGATCAGTTGAGAAACGAACACGGGTTATAATATCCCGAAACGATATATATCTTTTAAAATATTTGATTGTTACAGAGACATCGAATACGTTTCTTTGTACAGCTGCAGACGATTGGGATATTGTTCCTTTGTGTGGATATTCACGGATACATTCCTCGAACAAGGAAGCTGCCTAAAATATATACACATAAATTTGGTAGGTTGTAATTATGGTATTTGCATTTTGTTTTCCTTCATTTAAACGATAATTCGTTCTTGTTTCTCTACGTCTTGGTTGGGAAATTCTTCAATGCGCGATAGACGTTGTTTTCACAGGCCTTTTCCTTTGTATGCGTGTATATATTACCGTCAATTTGTAAAATGTGATTCTCTCAGGCAATTTTTAAAATGTGTAAATGTTTCAGTCATTTTGACTAAAAAATCTGTCCAGATTGATTAAGACTATCAAAAGGGTCTACAAACATCACAACAGATTATTATGTAGGATTAGAAGCCAAACAACATAGAAATGTACTTTTCAACGTATCATTTTCAGTCTCTTGGTGATGACATTAAACATCAAAATGTTTGGAATTCGTTATCATAATAATAGAGATGGAAATGTTTTTCAGTCACTTTGTAAAATAACTGAATATTTAGACGTTTAATAAATATGTTACACATTTTGACAGTAAAATAATATACACACTATAAAAAAGCAATGCTCAGGTGAAATATTTACTTTATGTTGCAAGTCAAAATAGTGTAAACGAAAATCGCAAAATTACCAAGCAAGTGACTTATCAAAATTTCGTCACCATTACCGAGGCTACCGACAAAGATACCTACATTTCCTTATTATCTCGAAAACTGTATTTCATTTTGTTGATCAATGTGACCATACGCCCTTATTACTACCGGTATCCATAAAAGTGACTAATGCGCTTACGAATGGCGCAGCAGAGGTCGCGAACTAGTCTAGATTTCTGCTATACATCCGGGTACTCACTGGGAAAAAACAATAACAAAGGCAACAACCAGTTCCGGGGAATTGCGATAGATCAGTGCCCCTTTAATGTCGCACACTTACTCACACACCCGTAACAGGATTGGCAGTGGCTGATATCTCTAGCATGTCTGTCACAAATTCGGTCTGACTTAGTTGAAGTATCCTTACCAAAACAATCCCCTCTGTTGGTTATGGTAACGTATTCCAGAAAGAAGTCACTTTGAAGGTCAACCAGCCAGTATGGCTGCATGTCCCCGTCTTGGCTCTCCCAGCACGAGTTCCCTGAAAAGGCTGCTTCTCTGTTGCCATCAACTGCTTTGTCTTTGTAATCGGTGAAGGTTGAAGATTTAGTTGGTTTGCCTAAGGCCAGATTATTGAGGATACCTGAGAGATGCAAGAAAAGAAACAGTTTATGTCAGAAAAACAATTTGTAGTGATGGAAACAAATGGCATGTCTTCAAGCAGTGTTTCTGTTACATGTCTTGCCGATTGAGGCGTCAAACAACATTCATTGTATGCAAATTTAAAGAAAACGGCCTGTCTGCTAGACATAGAACTGTGACTTAACTGTCAATGGACACAACAAGCTGGACATGGGAATATTAGTTAACTCTCATGAGTGCCTTCATGCTGAAAGTCGCTAGTATTGCGGTCTCACTTTGGTTGCTGGCGATCTCTGGTTCGTTTTTTGTTCTGAATTGTGACATATCTTTGTGGTTTCATGCCTGCTTTAAATATGTATATAAATCTGTTGCTTGGTTGGTTTGTTGTTTTTCGCCGCACTCAGCAATATTCCAGCTATATGACGGCGGTCTGTAAATAATCGAGTCCGGACCAGACAATCCAGGGATTGACATGAGCATCGATCCACGCAATTGGGACCGATGACATGCATCAACCAAGTCAGCGAGCCTGACCACCCGATCCTGTTAGTCGCCTTTACGACAAGCATAGTTGCCTTTTACGGCAAAAATGGGTTGTCGTTGTACAATGGCATTGAAAAATGTACATTGTCATGTCACATAAGGCCAAAAGTTTGCGCTGAACGCAGTATCTCGTGTGACTGCCCCGGGCAGCAATCACGGCTCTGCACCTCCTCGGCACTGACTGGATAAGTGTACGAATTCTTTCCTGCGGAATTCTGTGCCATTCTGCTTGTAAGGCGTTGGCCAGTTGTAGAAGTGTCTGCGGCGTGTTCTGGCGTTGAAGTACACGTCGATCGAGTTCATCCCAGAGGTGTTCGATTTGGTTGAGATCTGGAGATCTCGACGGCCAGTGCAAGTCGTTGATGTTGGCATTATGGGGGAGGATGATGGTATCGAGACAGATTGACAGCCGTTGTTGCGTGTGTCACTCGGTTATTTAAACGGCGTTTGCCTTGTTGATTGTTACTATACTTACTATACTAATTCAAACTCCGTCCACACTGACACCGCAACAAAGTTATTTGTGTACCGATTACATAACTCTTACTGACAGTGTGGGGTGGTAGTTCACGGGAAACGGACGACATTGTGTCAGTTGGGTGGCGCCTTTGATATCGCCTCCAAACATACTTTTATAGAATGACACATTAGGATCGCGGAGAAAATACAAGATTCGTTCTTGTTGAATATATCAAGGCACCAATTCATGTTTCATAAACCTTTGTGTCTTTGCGCTTAATATTTCAACAATTAACGAAAATATGTAATACGTATATCTACAAAAATATATATACAGGCTAGGTATTTGCCCACAGCAACACCTGCATAACTGTTCACGCGTGGCAGATTGTAATTGGACGAGAGCCGGTATTGCTGACTCACCTGTAGTCATGAAACAATGTAACGAATAGAAATGTAACAACTAAAATTTAATGTTGTGGATGATAACGTCCATGGATTGGAGAACACTCGCATAAATTCGTATGATAAACTATAAATATTTTTGAGATGTGAGGCCGGTTTGATTAAAGATCGTTACAATATATACATGTACAAAAGGCCAAATTTGTAAAACTTCTATAAAGGTAACATCCATCCAAAGGCCCATTTTAAATAGTAATGTAATGTTATAATAGAAAGTATTTTTCAAATGATACAATATACTTTGCACAAAGTTAGTTAGTGCTTTAAAGAAACTAACCAAAACATGGGCGAAATATTTGAATACCGCCACAAATTAGTTAAATTAAGTTAAAATGAATTGAATCATATGTCATGATGCTTGTAGGCACACCTTTATGTATTTGCAAAATTGAAATATAAGTTTTGAGCAAAGGAAAATATTCTTGCCCATGGGCGAAATATTTTGATAACGCCACAAATTAGTTGAATTAAGTTAAAATTCGTTTAATTACGTGTCATTATGCTTATGGACACACCTTAATGTATTTGCAAGAGATAAACATGACTTTTGAGCAAAGGAAATTATTCTGATTCATAGTTTAAATTTTGAATTTTCGAAAGTTTCTTTTACATTTTCCCCCTTTTTATGTACCCATGAGAACAACATGTTTAATTTTGTAAATATCTTTGACAGAGACTGGCCACAGCATGGAGAGTTTCTGGACAGAATTAAAATGGGACATGTTCTATTGATATGCAACTATGTTTCTTGTCTAATAAATCTTGAATCAGTGAGGTTGTAGCACGTGAAACATGTGAATGAATGACGTTGATTTGTAAATGAATGCAATGAGAGAAAATAGTCACGTTATCCAATGGAAATCGATCTTTTGTTAAACTGACCAATCAGTCTCGAGAATCACTAATTACACACTGTGCAAATATCAAAAAGAAATTACACTGTATATTTTAGCCCATATGGGTAATAAAGAGGGGTCTTGACCAAGTACAATATAATGCTGCCACTTAACAACAATGGGCAGCTTGACCCGTCCCAGTGAAATGTAATATATGGAGGATATTTCATGTGTCCAGTGAAATATGATGTATCTCTCATCGGGTGACGTGGAAAAGGAGATATTTTCACGAGTGGCGCATACTTTATTTCTGGTTGATAATGGGTTTTTTAAACAATTAAATAACAAAATCTGAATTCTCCCTACCATATATGTTTACCTTTTTACATACACTGACCTATTCACACAAGGCTTCCTGCATGCAAACAAGATATAGTGCTAATTTGATTGAATATTTGAATATAAATAATACAATAGTAGAATTATTTTTTTTAGTTTACGTTTTGCTGACATTCTTGTTCACATCTTCTGAACTAATAAAAACTCATTTTCTGTTTGGTGTATTTAATCTAACTTACAAGCGCATTTAAATATAAAAATTTAACAACAGACTTCCGCAAAACGAAACCAGGAGGTGTGGTCGCTTAATAGCAACTCATTTGAAGCATAGCTGTTTGAAAGAGAAGAGTTTTCAAACAAATAACGTACAAGAAGAACTGTTATGAAGTTATTCTTTTACCTGATGTAAATTATTTTCACTGTCAACACAGACATGTAAGCGTTCTGTGTTCGGGTACTGCCGCATAGACAGTCGCACGGGCGGGTAACTTCGTTACTGGTTGTTCCCGCAAAGTGGTATTTTCACTGCACTGAACATATCCTTTTTTCTGTCATTTGAGAAAATATCACTTTTCTAAACTTTAGAAATCGCAGTCCTTCACACTAACATATATAATAAAACACAGCACTTATGGTCTTTACCCACACAAGCACTAATAACACAGAGGACGATTTGTCCCAGTAACATCTCATAATACAATACAACACTAATGTACTCCCAACTGGACATGGACCTCTGACGTTAAGGGGACATGTCGCAGAACGATATAGTAAAATAACATTACAGCAACAGTCATACAGAACAAACGCGATCCGTTCCAGTAGAATGTGGCTATTATATCACATAACACAAATGAACATTTCTCAACCAAACACGAGTTGACACATAACATAGAGGGGTCTTGTCCAAGTAATATAAAGAAATAAAAAAAAACGACATGCCCCTTAAAAATATTATATTATTAAAATGATGGAATTTTTTTTGTATTTTTCAATAAATAATTTCACAAAGAATTTGATTAAATTTTATATTTGGTTGCCAATATATGCTTGGCTCCACACACAGGTACTCACCACATACAAATGTTGAATGGGCGAGGAGTAGGACCGTATTCAGTGGGAACATCTTTTGTCCGCGACAAGAAAACTCTAATGATTTTCATGAAGTGTATGAACGCTTCAGCTAACCTCAAGAATATGGTAAATGTAAGTCTTGGCATTTCATCCAGAGGAGCAAATCAATAGTCTTCGTTGTCAACATCCTTACTGGGCATGACAACAAGTATGGATTTCCTGAATTTGTTAAAAGCTTGCATGAATAAGGCTGTTATACATTTTTGACAATTGATGTTAGTTCCAGACTGCACACATGGATGGGACTATGTAAACTTACACTTGATCACTTGTGCGACTTCAGACTTTTTGGCACATTTTAGCCGAACCTTTTGAAATTTGTTTTTCCCCATGCAAATCTGACTGCAATTTCAAATTAATAGAATATTTGCAGATGTATCTAGAACAAATAATACAAATAGTGTCCCACATGGTCATTAATAGAAAACGCCAACATCTTCAAAAAATGCAACATTCATACAGAGTATAGTGTACGTGTGGTTGCCCAAATCTTGCTAAAACTAATCTTGTCAATCTGAAGGCACTAGTTTCCCTATTTTAATCAGTCAGTAGATCAATTGTTAACACTGGGTTCAGCTGTCGAGCATATTATCGTCAAGGTTTCAAGGGAAAGTGCACCACCACATATGACATATTCTATATAATTTCTTTCGTTTGAGGGACGAATTAGAACGAAATTATTTTCTCCTAACGTCGGAAAGCACAACAAAGGGAGGTAACCTGGTTTCGTAATGGGTATATAAGTAAAGGCGGGAAGTTGAAACTTCATTCTCAGGTGCGGTGCAGTCGGGCTGGCTATATTAAACATGGACGCTGACAAGCTCATATCGGAGAAGTTAGACGAGATTCTTCGCCAATTGGAAAGATCAAAAGCCGAAATAGCGCCATCAGTTGAAGATCGTTTACTTGGTTTTCGTGAAGAATTTGAGAAAACGACCAAAGAGATATCCAAGTTGAAAGCTGATAAGGAATTTGTGTGGAAACGAGAAGGTTGTAGAATACAACACTCATTCAATACTGAAACTTTGGACAATTTAAATCAGTTAAAGTTTGCCTTAGAATTTAAGAAATACGACTACGCGGCGGAGCTTGTTGAGACGGAAAAAACTCGGATCGAGCAGAGAAACAAACTTATTAAGATTGCCGATACGTCGGAAGGTGGATGGGAGACTGTAAAAAAATATGTTGCACGAGATGTGGCGTCCGACTCCGAAGACGACAAGAAAATTACAAGAGCAGAAAATAAAGCTGTCAAGAAAATCAAGTCCAAGATGGGGCGTTCTGCACGCAGTCCGTACTATAGACCACGTGGTGGTCGTGCTCCTAGTGCTACTGTCTCTTCTGCAGAGCCAGCGGCAGTCAACAGTTTCTCCATGTTCAATCAGCCCTTTCGGAGGAACACATCAAGTGGAGCGTGCTTCTCATGTGGGGGATTTGGCCATTTCAGACGTCAGTGTCCGATGTCCGGAGAACAACAACCCGCTCAGACTACAGGACGAGATGGAGGATCTGCCCATTAATAAAGAAACTGACTCACAAGTTAAGTATGACGTAGGTCATAGTGATAATCATGTGTTACTGACTGATGCTTATTTTGAATATGAACAGGGCCATGCAGAAATCATTGTGAAGGATAGGCTAAAACAAAACATTGCTTTTTGGCGTCGAATCGGAAGTTCAGACTACGTCACTGATATCATAGAAAATGGATACAAAATTCCGTTTTATTCAACACCACCCAATACGGTTTTAGGCAACAACAAGTCTGCTAGATTGCACGAAGAGTTTGTATCAGAGGCTGTGTCTCAATTACTCAAAAAAGGTTTAGTTGTGCAGCGTGATATAAAGCCTACATTTGTTAATCCTTTGTCAGTGTCAATCCAATCTTCAGGTAAGAAGAGACTGATCTTAGACTTGTCATGGGTCAACAAGCATGTATGGAAACAATCGGTGAAATATGAAGATTGGAGGACAGCCATGATGTACATAAACAAAAATGACTGGCTTGTAAAGTTTGATATTCACTCGGCTTATCACCATATTGACATATTTCTTCTTCATACCCAATACTTAGGTTTCTCATGGGGGACTGGTAAAAAAATGACATATTACAAGTTTCTTGTTTTGCCATTCGGGCTTACATCGGTCACCCGTCAGTTGGTAAAGTATTGGCGTTACAAAGGCTATAGAATTGTTACTTTTCTTGATGATGGTATTTTGTCCAGTGACTCTATGGCTAATACTACGACTATTGGAAATGCTGTCAAGCAAGATCTCATAAAGTCCGGTTTTGTACCAAAAAGTGAAAAATCTTTGTGGGCTCCATGTCAGGTTATGGAATGGCTAGGCTTAATAATTGACACGAAGTGTATGAAACTATCAATCCCTCTTCGGAAGGTTGATAAGTTACATCAGAGTATCATCCCGTTATTGAAAGGTAGCGGGATTGTCCTGGTTAGAAAAGTGGCTTCAGTCGTGGGGCAGGTGATAAGCATGAGTTTGGTTGTAGGATCTGTCGCTCAGCTCATGACTAGGGCTTTGTCTATGCAGACGGTGAGTATAACATCATGGAATGAGTTTGTTGTTTTGACACAGTACAGCAAACATCAACTCGAGTTTTGGTTACATGAGATAAATAAATATACAGAGAGAATATGGTGTGATCAGTCCATAGTAACGAGAGTGGTATACAGTGACGCCAGTAGTGTCGGCTACGGAGAGTATTGTGTACAGTTTGGTGAGGAACAGTCTCATGGGCAGTGGTCGGTGGAAGAAGCTGCGTTGAGTTCTACACACAGGGAATTAAAGGCAGTGTATATGGTTCTGCAGAGTTTTCTCCCTTTGCTGAAGTCACACAGAATCAAATGGTTTTCTTATAATAAAAATGTTGAATCGATTGTAGCTAAAGGATCTATGAAATCTGGGCTGCAAAGCATTGCTATGGACATTTTTAATCTTTGTCTCCAAGGTCAGATTCAGTTGGAAATGCAGTGGATACCCCGGTCAGAAAATGAGAGATCAGATTATTTTAGCAAGCTTGTGGACACGGACGATTGGGGAATCAGTGATTTTGTATATCAGCACATACAGAGTATGTGGGGTCCATATGATATAGATGTATTTGCCTCGTATTATAACAACAAGGTTGCTAGGTTTTATTCCAGATATTGGAATCCTGGATCATGTGGAGTGGATGCATTTACCATGAGTTGGTCTGAAGGCAACAATTGGATAGTGCCACCTGTTTATTTGGTATCTAGGTCATTACGGCATTGGAGAATGTGTCAAGGCAGGGCTACGTTGATAGTTCGTGTTTAGTATTCAGCTACTTTTTGGCCATTGTTATGTCCTAGGGGAGAGTTTGTTTCACAGGTGAAGGAAGTGGTTTATCTGCCTACTTACAAAGATGCATATGTCCCAAGCAGACAAAGCAATGGTCTGTTTGGTGTTTATGATTTAAATTTTAACATGATGGCGATTCGGGTTCAGTTTTGAATTTCCTGTTACAGGTGTTTTTGATCACGTGTTTGGTGACGAGATAGCTGAGCTACCGCCGAGTGTGAAGGAATTAGCAAAAGCAATACCGGGACTGCTTAAATTATGCCAGAGCGACTTCCACGTGCAGAAAGTACAAGTATGGTTTCCGTGCTTGGAGAAAGTGGGCTGTTTCTAACGGTATGCCTGTAGGGTTACCGTTATCTCCCTTTCATTGTGCGCTTTATTTGCTATCAGTGATACAGCGGTCGGGTTCTTTTTCGCCCGTGCAGTCAGCGTTTTATAGTATTCGACACTTTCATGTTATTGTTGGTTTGCCCACTCCCACGGACAACACGTTGGTGATAAATTTGTTGGAGGCAGCCAAACGGAAGTTAGTTTAACCCGTTAAAAAGAAAGAGCCTATTACGGTTGAAGTACTTGAAAGGATGTTTGATTGCAAAATGCAAAACCAAAATGTATATAATTTGAGAACTGTGTGTATGTGTTTGCTTGCATTCGCAGGTTTTATGCGGTCTGCTGAGTTGCTTAATATTAAGCATGGCGATTTGTTGTTTTTTGATTCTCATATGACTGTGTTTATAGAAAGGTCCAAGACCGATGTATACAGAGATGGAGCTTGGTTGGTTATTGGTAGAACAGGGACAAAGATGTGTCCTGTGAAGTGTATGGAATGTTTCTTTGAAAAATCTGGATTAAAGGAAGAAACTAATTCAGAAAGTTATCTTTTCAGAAATCTGTTCAAGACCAGTGATGGCTATATATTTAGAGCCGAAAACAAACCGATGTCTTATACTCGGTTGAGGGAATTATTTATTGAAGCCTTTAAGCCTTATGTACGTGACATAAAATGCTACGGTTTGCATAGTTTGAGGTCAGGTGGAGCAACAGTGGCAGCCAATAGAGGCATCCCTGATAAAATGTTTAAACGACATGGTCGCTGGAGGAGCGAGAGTGCTAAAGATGGCTATGTTAAGGACAGCATCGAAAATAGATTAAAAGTGTCTCTTTCTTTGGGGCTTTGAATTGCCCGTTCTTTGTTTCCTCAGTCAGTGCACTGTACAGTATCCCAATATGTTGTAGTTGTGTATTTTGTTGTGTTAAGGGGGAGAAGGAGGAGAAATATAATTTCTTTCGTTTGAGGGACGAATTAGAACGAAATTATTTTCTCCTAACGTCGGAAAGCACAACAAAGGGAGGTAACCTGGTTTCGTAATGAGTATATAAGTAAAGGCGGGAAGTTGAAACTTCATTCTCAGGTGCGGTGCAGTCGGGCTGGCTATATTAAACATGTTCGGTTATCTATGATGCCGATTGGAGTACACGTCGGTTGAATCTATATTTTTTATTATTTATGTGTGTAGTACCTGCGGCTGTCCATATGATGATCAGGATGTTATGCGTTGCTTGCAAGTTGTGCTGGCGAGCCATGATAATACGTCGTGAGCTGGATCGGTATCCATAGTTGAAATCTCGAACACTCCAGTTGTGAGAGTATGGATTTGGGATATACTCTGATGAGTATGCGCTGACGAGCCATTAGAATAC